AGGATCCAGGCACACATTGATGGGTTCAGGCCCAGGTCATACAGCTTAGTAGCCAGCCTACTGGGGACTTCAGTGTTGAAAGCTGAACTGTAGTCTATGAACAGCAGTCTGACATAACCCCCTCTTACGATGTCAAGGTGGGAGAGGGTGGCATGCATGACCTGGGAAATAGCATCGTCTGTGGATCTGTTGGAGCGGTAGGCGAACTGCAGTGGGTCTAAGATACTATGAAGAGAGGAGCAGATGTGGTCCCTTATCAACCTCTCAAAGTCTTCATGACTACCGAGGTCAGTGCTACGGGACGGTAGTCATTCATACCGGCTGGGGAGGCGTTCTTGGGTACGGGGATGATGGTGGACATCTTGAAGCATGTGGGGACTGTGGATTGTGCAAGAGAAAGATTGAATATGCAGGTGAACACTGGAGCCAGAATGTCAGCGCAGGTCCTGATGACTCGTCCTGAGATCCTATCCGGGCCTGCCGCCTTTCTGGTGTTCACCCTTTTCAGCTCCCTTCTCACGTCATGCTCAGAGAGAACGGGGCTGAGTGCTGTCCCACTGGTAGAACTCCTTCTATCTGCGTTAGCAAAGTCCTTTTAGGCAAGTCATGCCACTCGGCCGCCATCTTGGCAACGCCTCCGGGCAGCTATTTCGGACTAACAAGACCAGGCTCCTATCTAAATGAATGGGCAGAGAGTCAGAACTGCAGTTTCACTGGTCACCGGGACATAAAAACTGCATGTATAGAAACAGCAGTAAAATATGATAAAAATCGCTGAAAAAGTTTGATGACTTTGCCCCAAAATAAAGTTTAAAACGCCTTTTTTCCCACAGGTTATACTTTTACTACGCATGCGCAAGGGTTCTCTCCCTCGGTCGTGCGCGCGCTACACAGTTTGAAGCACAGTGTGTGTGAGCTCTCGCTCGCTCGCTCTAGATTCCGGGAAATTTGAACTAACTCATACACTGCATATCAAATCTGCCGCCTTTTCAAACAGTAACGATTTTGCGCTGTCGCAAACCTCAACTGTGCGCATGCGTCAGTGGAACCAGACGATAGGGTTAAATGTTTCCCGGCTTGACTGTTAAAAGCAGACGATTGGCTTTCCAGCGGGAGGGGCGGGGCATGTGCACACAACCGCCATCTTTGGTGTTACGGGTTTTCCCTATATAGTTGTATTAAGGATTGATGAAGTGGCATGTCTCTATATAAATAGTCTCTGGCGTTAGTCAGGCCTGCGTTAGCATGGCCAGCGTTAGCATTGCTAGCTTCGAAACGTGCATAGAAGGAGTTCAGTTTGTTCACCAACGCTGCGTCCGCACTCACCATACACGGGTGATCCTTTTTTATAGTCCGTGATCTCATGTAATCCCTGCCTTATGCTTCGTGTGTCCTTTATCTGGAATTTTGCTTCCATCTTGTCCCTGCAGCGCCATCTTGTCCCTGCAGTGCCGCTTTGCATCCGCTATGTCCCGCCTCAGTTTGTAGCATGCAGCCTTGTATTCCGTCATGTCACCCGACAGCAGTCCAGCGTTGTAAGTGGTGGTGCGGCCTTTCAGTGCAGCGCATATGGATCTATCGACCCACGGTTTTTGGTTCGGAAAAGACTTCACCATCGCCGTGGCCGTGGGTACAACATCGTCTGTCCACGTCATCCCCCAGTCCAGGTCACTCAGTGCGTCGCCTAGCATCTCCTCTGATTCGGCTGTCCAGCGTCTGACCTCTCGCGTCACTACCGGCTCTCGTTTCATTCTCTGTTTTTATGATCAAGAAAATGGCGTTATGATCAGATTTCCCGAAAGCTGGGATAGGAATGGATCTGTACCCTATTTTAAAGGGTGTATAGCAGTGATCTAGTGTCTTGTCATTGCTGGTGGGACACTTGATATGTTGGAAGAAGTTAGGCAGAACTTTTTAAAGATTTGCCTTGTTAAAGTCCCCTGTCACTATGAGTGCAGCGTCTGGGTGTCTGGTCTATAGTCCAATTGTCACGTCGTGTAACACCGACAAAGCCTTGTGGTGGGATGTATACAGCCGTGGAAATAACTGAGGTGAACTCACAAGGAAGGAAAAAAGGGCGACACATAATCGTCAGATGTTCCAAGTGGGGCGAACAGGAACTCGAGAGGATTTTGGTCCCCTTTGGGCTACACCAGTTATTGTTCATTATCATGAAACAGACTCCTCCACCTCTTGTTTTACCGGACTCTTCTGTTGTATCCATGCGGTAGACAGAGAAATGCTCGGCCGGAGTAACAGCTGTGTCCGGTACGAGGGAAGTCAGCCAAGTTTCGGACAGACAAAAGATGTAACAGTCCTTTATGTGCCGCTGGAACTTTATCCTGGCTCTAAAGTCATCCAACTTTTTTTCTAGAGATTGTACGTTTGCGAGCAGGATACTGCGCAAAGGTGGTCGATGGGCCTGAGACCGTAACCTGTTCTGTACACCCCCGCGACGACCTCTGTGCTTCCTTTTACACCTCCATCGGGTCTCACCGCTATTATTATTAGGGTTGCCGTTGTTGTTGCCCTCGTCCCTCAGTATTTCCACAGGCCACGACGGAGAGTCGTGAAAGGTCAGTAAAACTGCTTGTTTGCAGCATTCTGATGCGAAAAAGTGCATCTCGGTCATAATGTAACATGTCCAGAAAAGTACAGAAAAGAAAAAAAGTACAAATGAATCGAAATAAAGCACAGTCATACGGGAGCAGTCACGGCGGCGTCTGAACTCAGTCGCGCCACCAGCCAATCTTCAGAATTCCCGATCTCATGACAAACAATGATTGATCTTTGTGTAATGCAACAAGGAAATAGACAAAAGTGTAGATGCTACAATCAAGATACGGAAATGGTGGAAGTTGTTTAATTTAAATCTAAACTGAAATCCTGGATCAGGAAATGTTGCATACCAGATTTAATCTCAATTTTCCTGGATGAGCATCATGTCTCAATGTGCCATGTAAAGTGTAGGGATCAAAGAGAAGTTGCGATAGTCTTTTCTTCCTACTGTGACATTTCTAAGCAAAAAAGCTTCTTGAACAAGTAGATATGTAGGATGGAACTCATTGGATGGTTGTGGTTTTATATTGCTGTGATCTCATGTGAGAGACAGGTTGTCCCGTCCTGGCGCCAAAAACATGTTGTCAGAGAAGAGATGTCATTACAGGAGGGCACATGAATTAAAAAAATAATAATAATAAAAATAATTTATAATATATACTGAAGTATTCCATAAAAACTGGTGTCCCACTTTATAGTAGGTGTCTTTAACTACTATGTTCTAACATTTAAATTAATAATTTGATACAATGCACTTATTGTATACATACATGATTTTACATTGTACTTGTGTACTTTTTAAAAATACCTGAAAGGTTTACTGCTCAGTCCCCCCATTATGGTACAATTCTACAGAGCGTCATTGAAAGTGTGCTAACATCCTTCCTCACGGTCTGGTTTGCCTCTGCGTCAGCCAATGCAAAAGCCAGGATCATCGGCTGCCCCCTGCCCTCCATCATGGACCTGTACAGTTCCAGGTCCATTAACAAAGCTGTGAAGATTGTGCCCGACCCCTCTCATCCTGCCAATAGTCTGTTTAATCTTCTCCCCTCTGGAAAGCGGTACAGGGCCATTTTGTCCAAAACATCTCGCCACCGTCACAGTTTTTTCCCACAAGCAATAGCCCTCCTAAATGACTTTTAAACCTGGAATACATTGCATTCTGTTTTTTATTTAACACAACACTATTTTACATTCATATTAACTTATTACTCATAATGTCTTTGTTTGTCCTTGTATTGTGTTTTTGTCCTTGTTTTCTTGTCTTTCTGTTTTACTGTGTGTTGCCTGCATGGAGAAGACCAAATCAAATTTCTAGTATATACATGGCGAATAAAAGTTGAATTGAAAATACCTGCATGTAATTACAGCTGTAATTCATTTCTGTAATTAAATCTATAATTACAAATTTGAGCCTTCCATTTCACCTTAACCCAACCTTAAACCTAACCATACCACCAAACCCAACCTATGCCTAACCTTACCCGGACCGACGCATCCCACCTCAATAGCAGCAAATGTTTTGCAATACAATATTACCACAATGAGTAGCCTACGTTGTACTTGTTTTTTTTATATAAGCACATAGTAGTTAAAGGCACCTAATATAAAGTGTATAAAGTGTGACAAAAATGAGAATTGTCCATTTTGATTTCATAGTAACTTTAACTGTGTTTAGGACCTCCTTAATCCTAGGACATTTTCTTAAAATGTCAACTATATTATTGCCCAGCTCTAATCTGCTAAATGCAACTATAAGGTATGAAGATATTAAGATATAATAAACATTAGCATGATTATCTGTAAAAAAATCACGTGTATTGTGAAAAGCGCTTTACAAATTAATTTGGCATGATTCCACTATTAAAGGGATAGTTCACCCAAAAATGAAAATTCCATTATCATTTACTCATCCTCAAGTTGTTCCAAACCTATATGAGTTTCTTTCTTCTGTTGAACACAAAAGAAGATATTTTGAAGAACGTTGGTAAAAGACAGTTGATGGTAGCCATTGACTTCCATAGTATTTTTTTCCTACTCTGAAAGACAGTGTGCCATCAACTGTCTAGCTATAAACAATCTTCAAAATATTTTCTTTTGTGTTCAACAGAAGAACGAAACTCGTTCAGGTTTGGAACAACTTAAGGGTGATAAACTAATGACAACATTTTCATTTTTGGGTGAACTATCTCTTTAAGTGGCAAATATGGAAACTTTAGCACCAGTAAGGAGAGGAGTAAATAAGAAACCAGAAGGGGGCAGCATTTACATTCAATATAAATATGAACATCCCTGACTCTAGATAATTTATCACTATAGCTCTGCTGATGTTTTGAACACACTACAAGAATAATGGCGATCACTTAGCAATATGTTTTGTGATATAATATAACATTGTCATCTGTTGTGTGGATATGATGTATGTTTACATGTTCTGTTACCTTTTGTCCTTTAATTCCTTGACAGTCACATCCTGATTTCCCACTGCAAACACACCCCTGAGAGGAAAACACAAGCAAAACAACACCATGACTGGATGAAAACATTTACAATAACAACAATTATTGCTCTCACTCAATAATGAATTCTCACTCTGATTCTTGCTCACTGAAAAGAATAGAAGGCCACCTAAAAGAGGGGTTGGTTGGGGGGTGAAAAAACAGAATCTAGTCTAAATCTAGTGGTTTTGTAGCATCTTAATATTAGGATTTCTGAGTTAATTGACTGAAGGCATGGATGTGCCCAAACAGACACACATAATTTAAATGGAATCACATAATCAAGAAATGCATAAAATGCCTGGCTGAAAGGAATGCCGGGAGTTTAACCAGCTCTCTGCATGAACTTGCATTGTTACAGATGAACGACAAGCATTGGTTCATGGCCTCACATCTTACCGTATGAGATCATAGACTCATACATTATCTCTTTGAAAGGTATATTTTGAATGAAAGCATATGCTTCCATTGACAACAACAGAAGTTGATAAATGGGTGTTTCTTAATTGAGCAATATCATGTCCCATGAATTGATTTTTATTTGTTTATTTTTTCTTTCATCAAAACTTCCTTGGAAAAGTTTTACTGTGCCTTCATCGTTTAATTTTTAAAAACTTTGTTTAAAAAATTTGTTTTATCCTTGTCCCAGACTTTCAATCTTAAATGATGTTAATCCTTTGTAAAAATTTGAATTAGTACATTTTATGATCATTTACATACTGTACATACTTATTGCCTGAAAATAATTTTACGGCATGGACTAGTTATGGCATAATTTCCGAAACAACCAACAATTTTCTCCCTAATAAAGACTTATCAAAAGTGTACTTGTTTACCAATGAGACAACAGTGTGTGAGAAGAGCACGCTTGAGATAAAATATCAGACGTGATCTGTAAAAACATAAAAATAAAACAAAAAAGGCTATATGTTACTTTTTTTTCAAATTATGCAAAAGGGGTGAAAATATTATTTAACCTTCATCCTTCCCTCGGATCCTGTAACAAATCCTTCCCTCGCCGGTCAAAATGACCTGAAACCCAATTATACTAATTTGTCATATCATTTAATTTTTATAATATTTTTTCTATTTATTTACAGCAATTTTTTGGAAATGTTTTAATCTTTAAATTTCTAGATTTCTAGACAAAAAAATAATATAATCTAAGCACATTCTTCCTTAAATTCAAAATAACTCTCCAATATATGCAATAACCAGCTCAAAGTACATATCTCACATTGGGTTAATTTGGGTGTCGCCTCCGACCTCTTGTGGAAAAAAGTTAATACAACATGATATTTCATGACTCTTGCCACTAGATGGCCTTATAGCTCTACGTATATGTATATGGAACAAATGAGCTGTTCCGCTGGGTCCTAAAGTCAATTATTTTCTCTTTAGTATGCATTCAGATATCCGTGTAGACATTATAAAATAATTATTTGGTAAAGTTTTATAATTTGTATAATTTTTAATTTTTTCTATGTACTGTATACTCAAGCATTCCTCGCATTGCATTCATTCCTAAGGGGGTCAATTTGACACTCAAGGGAAGGATTTGTTACTTTTTGTATTGCAACCACATAAACTCATCGAATCCAGTAAATTTTTGTGTGTGTGTATATTTGTGGTTCAAGTGCGACAAAAGTCCTAAGGTCTTAGACCACTCCGATAAACACATTTTTTATTATTATTAATTTCGAGTCAAAATGGCCAGGGGAGGGAATGAAGGTGTGTATTTTTATCCAGTGCATGAAGCTTTAACAAGACAAAAGTCTTGTATTTTATTTCAATGTTAAAAATGTACGTTCCACCACATAAATGCTATCAAGCACAATACATCTTTTGAAAGATGTGGTGGAAATGTTAATGACTTTTTAGAATAACAAGAAGTGTCCATGCATAGTTTATAAAAATGCAAAAACATCTGATTGTAGATTTGATCTCAAAGTTCAGATACACAGGGTGGACCTGTCTGTCTCGGCGTACCCTTGAACTCACTAAGACACAACATGTCTCCTGATGATCTCAGATCAGCACAACTATTGTCGCTGGGGCAGCCTGTTTTTCAGATTGTAACCGAATCTGTCTGGCATTGTGTGCATTGTCTATGAGTGGTTCTGAAGAATGGGAAATATGGTTTATATGTATTTGGTGTGAATGGGTTCAAGCATAGGCCCGTATGAACCCCTTGGAATGGTTTTGCATGTGTGCATGTTCATCTTATCAGTCTAGAATGGATCTACCATAGTCAATGTGCTGTGGAACACCTGAACCAGATGCCATAGCACAGATACCATCAGAACAGACTAGAATCAGATACAGACCTGCATTTTCCTGCAGAAAGAGAGAGAGAGAGAGAGATGAAGACTGGGAGAAGAGGAAGACTCTTCCCCCCGGTTTCACAGACAAGGCTTAAGCTAGTCTAAGTCCAGATTAAAATGCATGTTTGAGCTGTTTTAACTGAAAGCCACTTGCACTTACGTATCTTCAAATATGTCAGTGCCATTGTTTTGTCTCAAGATATACACCAGTGATGTGTCTTTATAAGGCACAACTGAACTAAGGCCTAGGCTAATCCTTGCTTAACCTAAGCCCTGTCTGTGAAACCGGGCCTTCATCTCTTTGTGTTTCTGATCTTAGGGAAAGTGCCATTACCAACAATGACATTTTCAAAGCAGTTTCAGTAATTTGGGTTGCTATCAGTCTTTTTTTTTTTCTGTGAGAGAAAGTGTATAATAACAGGCAACTAGGCCTTGTTTACACCTGCTGGTATTAAGATGAGTTTTGGTCGATCGGATAACAAGTGGACGAGGAAGACACTTTTCCGTTTACACCCGGTATTTTAATCCATCTCTTTTGTCCACTTTCAAAAACCCATGTGTTGATTTCTTTCATGGGAGGGTCCATGGGCGGGTAAATCATGGGCCTTTTTTTTAGATCTTTCAATCTAATGGACAATATAACCTCAAGCTAATATGAACGTGACCAGAGACGTCTGACAAAGTTTAAATCCCATCTGACTAGAGCGCTTCCCATAATGTTTATGTATTATTAAGTCAGTATGCAGAGAGTAGGCAGCCTTTGCTTTCGACCACATGAGTCTACGGTATATTAGAGTGATTTCTGAAGGATCATGTGACACTGAAGACTGGAGTAATGATGCTGAAAATACAGCTTGTCATCACAGGAATAAATTACATTTTTAAATATATTACAACAGAAAACCGTTCTTTTAAATTATAAAAATATTTCACAACGTTATAGTTTTTATTGTATTTTTAATCAAATAAACGCAGCCTTGGTGAGCATAAGATACTTCTAAATGGTACATCAAAGATTACGGTCTGAAAAACATTACTTTTTTGAAAGTGAAATCTAAACGTAACCTAAACCTAAATTATGAACTACTATCAATTTTAACAAAGTTTTGTGCCTCTCTGGATTAAAAAAAATCGAAAGCTCTGCTGACAGTGCAGATAAGATATGACACAACACAGACTTCAATACAAAAAAAGAGACACGTGCAAAGAAATATGCGGCCTACTGAAACATCTAAAGATGATTGAGAACGGCCCTGAGTCCTGATGTACTATAGGGGCCTCAAGATGCTTCAAAAGGTTCTGCAGAATGAGATTATTTGTGTGCGCTCACATATGCACTGCCTCTATGCAGGTGTGCTCAGGTTCAGTCACGTTCCGACAGGTACTGTAAACACAGAGCACACACACCAACATACTCAAAATATTTGTACAAAACACGTTTCGCATTAAAAAGACATCCATCAATCTTTTGTAAAATAATTTTATGCGGCAAAAAGCAAGGCCAAAATGATTTCGAATAGGCCTAAGTAAGAGACGAGACTGGTCAAGAGGGGAACAAAAAGAAGAAAAGAGAACAAAGGCAAAGTGATGAGATGAGAAGATGTGAAAAGATGAGATGAAAAGTGGTGAGACAAGAAGAGACTAAATGAGAAAGGAGGAGAAAACAAGAACATAAATGATGAAAATATATGAATTTGTTGGATGAGAACAGGTAAAAAGTGACGAGAAGAGAGTGTTTTGAAAACAGTAAGAATGAAATTAACGTGTGAAATGTGAGCACAGCAAATAGTTGAACCATTTCCAGAATTAAGAGCAGTGTAGCGAAGAATAAGGAATATTCATAAACACCCTCCTAGGCTGTGGGTCAAATTTAGTCAAATTCACAGGCAGACTGTCAGTAACACTATAACATGCCCTTGGAAGCTGACTGACAGTCATACAAAAACAATTACACTCAACACAAAACCCATAAGGAAACCCATCAGGAAACGCTGTCAGAATACATACCAGATGTAAAGAGAAGTACAAATCATTGAATATCTCTTAGTACACACTCATTCTACAGGATTTTCCTGATAAATTCGGTTTTTACATTTTATGTATACTAAAAAAAAGAAGTTTTTTAAAGAAATTGATCATTTTATTCAGCAAGTATGTGTTCAATTGACCAGAAGTGGCAGTAAGGACATTTATAATGTTACAAAATATTACTATTTTAAATAAATGCTGTTCTTCTAAACTTTATATTCATCAAAGAATCCTGAAAAACAAAAGCATCATGGTTTACAAAAAAACTAAGCAGCAAGGCATGATAGGTAATTTTTCTTGATCATCATATTAAGGTGCGATCACTTTTACAGCAGCTCTGCAGAAAACTATTCATTCCATTAGGAATCTGCTTGATGGATAAGTTTTATTCGAGGCTCAGAAAGACCTTGAAAAGAAACAGGAAGCAGCTTGGTTTGAAATTGACTTCTGTGTGAGCGGTGCCTCATCATCTCTAGCTATGGTGTAACTGCCTCACAGCTTAAGTTTGTTAGTATTTTTTGGTTCCTACCTAAAAATAACAGGAGATCGTAGAGGCGGAACTAATTAGCGCCGACCTTGTGTTCCGTACACAATTAAAAAGGGCACAACACCTGAAGTGCTAAGCTAAAAGTATTTTTTTATTTTTAGTATTTATTTATTTAAAAGGGACAGTGCATATTAATGGACATCTTAGCTTTTCAGCAATGTAAATATGCCAGAATTATCCCAAAGGCTATTTTACATCTGTATAAAACATAGCATCGTTCGTAAGAGCTCTTCATGCGAAGTAAATATTAAGAATATAAAGATTTAGATGTATATTATCTGAGGAAAAGAAGACATGGAAGAAGACTTTAAGATTTAGCCCCTCTTAAGTAAAGCAGCCTACGAGGTATGTTTCTTTTGTAAGTTATCCGGGTTTTCTGTGATATATTTCATGTGCATAGCTTGCGTTAACTATAATGTGTAATAACGGCACAAACTGTATTCAAGACGTATACTATGCATTTTCTCTCTCTTTCAACCCAGTTCTCACGGGTTGATATGATATGTTGTAGAAATAAAACCCCGTTTATTTAACCAAGACCTCGTGCTTCGTGTTGACTAGGCTACTGGAGGGAGCTACATATGGACAATGGACTTTTTTGAATGCAAAATTTTGCTGATGTGAAAATTCAGCTTTGCCATCACAGGAATAAATTACATATTAAAATAGATTACAATATTACTTTTTTTGTTGTTGTTGTTGATAAAATAAAATCAATCTTGGTGAGCATAAGAGAATCCTTTCAAAAATATTAAAAAATCATACCGAAACCAAACTTTTGAATGGCTGTGTAGGCCTATATCTGGTTGACATGTTGTATAGTATCAATATAGACACTTATGATTGCTAGGTGACTTCTTCCTCTCTAAAACGGTCTTCTGTGTTATTCAGGTATACTGTATAATACAGCTTCCTGCTTCAAGTCTATAGAATGTCATCCGTTTTATTCTCCATCTCCACCAGCTAAAATTGTTTGTAAAAGTGAAAGACTCCAATTCCTGATCAACAGCATCTTCCCAACATCCATCGAACATACACACCACACACTAGTACTCTGACTTCCTGCAGTTTGGAATGGCTGAGCTCAGTCAGGCCTTCTGATTGGTCAAACACGCAGAAAGATAAACATGGCGGGGTCCGTCCTGCATCTGTAAATCCCCCGGTGGGCCACAATGGGTCCTACAGGCTTTATATGAATAGAGGAACTCTGAATCAACAGGCAGGCTGGACAATGAGCTGAATCCAGGGACTAAAAACACAGTTCACAGTCGGGATATGGGATTAAGTTCTAGCAGTGGAGAGGAGAGAAGAGAGAAGCTTCTTATGTTTCCCTCTGCTCCTCTTTCTCTCCTCCATGATATCTTCTTCACCCTCAGGGCTGAGGTTATTGACTTCATAATATTCCTGGCATTTCCCGGTTTATTTCCACATTTCCATCCAGCCACAAAAAAACATCTCGGACTTTCTCCATATTACTTTGAACACAAACATGTTGCTCTCTGTTGCACCCTGGAATCATGTTTTGACAAACACTCTCCTGCGAGACAGCGTAATTGACACAACATGGAAATCCCGAAGCATGTGGCCTAAATCTCTAACAGCACAAACAGTACAAATAACAGACTTAACCAAAACCTCTGACTTTTTTTTAAATAAATGAATATAATGGAATGCAAAGTTTACTCTTCAAATGTTCCGTTTAGTTGTGTTGATAAGTATTTGTGTGTACGTCAGAGAGAGAGAGAGAGAGAGAGAGAGAGAGAGAGAGAGAGAGAGAGAGAGAGAGAGAGAGAGAGAGAGAGAGAGAGAGAGAGAGAGAGAGACAAGACAGAGCCTGCATAAACAGATGTCTGTCTCTGATAACGACAGAGATGGTGCACATAGAATCACACTGACCCCACACTCACAATACACAAAAACACAGACAAATCTGCATATCTAACTGCATATGACACATGCTCTAGGACAGGGGTTTTGTAAACTGGGGTCCGGGGGCCGCAAGGGGGTGCAAGGGGGTCTGTGGAAAAGTCTAAAGAAAAACAGTGTAAAAATAAATAAATTACACTGATTAAATTAAATAAATAATACATCTTAACAGTAATAGACTGTAGTGAGTAGAAAAAAAAATGTTCTAAACACAATTTAATGCATATTTATTTATATATATATATTTTTAAGTCTTAATTTAATCTATATATGAAAATATATAGCTGTCTTTTAAATTTTAGGACTAACGTTAGTAGCCTACAATGCTGAGAAATACTTTTACAAAAAAAGTAGTGCCAGTACCACGGTACCATAATGGTATCAGATTGCAACCTTGACACACACTCTCTCACACACACAGGGCTAAACTTTGAGCCGCATTTTCCCCAAAGAAAGATGAGGTAACTGGAGAAAACATTCATTAGAAGTGAAGCCCATACTGTCACATAATACAGTAGTCTACAGCTCAAGATCTTTGAAGTTTGATTGATTGGAGCTTTGACGTCATAATTGAGCGCCCCTACTGGAGTCAAAAGGTAGTAGCCTAATATGATTTCAAGTAACGTTAGGCTAGTCAAGTCTAATTCAATTAAATTGAAGGAAATTTCAGTCCAAGACACAATCTTCGTCTCGCGTAGCTGAATAGTTGTACTCCAGCTCATCTTAAAGGCATTCCTAAACAAAGCGTTGTCATATGTGTAATAAAACGATAAACAATTTTGTAGGCCTACCGTCCAGCAACGGAAAGCGTTCGAGCTGTTGCTAGGTTACCACCCCATAAACGCAACTTCTTTGCGCGAGTGTCTTTGAGAAAACGACAGCCTGTATAAATAGCTAACGTTACTCCCAAATAATTCACACCATTGATAAAAGAACATATGTTTTCGATATTATGTGTTTGATATTAGTTTTTCATTGCTCTTCTGCTCTGTATGAACTATCTGCTATCATACAGCCTAATCAATAACATCCGCAGCTAAGTTAGTAGAGATATGAATTAAATAATTCAGCACCCTCTCCCCATACTAGCTAACTTACTTCGTTAAAATGTTTCGTAGCTACTTCAAAAATATATGGTGGAGAAAATTTAAGAGTAAAACGTTTTAGAAGACACTAATCATTTAATATTAAACTCACCCCTTTTTCTTTAGTTCGTGCCGGTGTTAGAAGTCCCAGCAACATCATCCCGAAAAGCGTCGCTCGCAATATTAAGCAAGAATCCATTTTCTCACAGAAAACGAAAGACCCCGCACACAATTCCCACCGGTCCAGCCCGCAACAATCTCAGAATCACACGTTATTCAGGAGTCCAGAGTGGAACAGCAGTAGGATCTCCAAATCTACCTGCCAAACCACCTGCAGCACTGCGACCATCTCAGAAATAAAGCTTAAACTTAGGCTTCTTAAAGGACTTGTCAACGAAATTACTATTTTTGGACTGTCAGTGTATCCTCAAGAATATCAAATCAGCGGGAGTACAACAGGGAAGTGTGTTTGGCGTATTATCCCCCAGTTGTAGTTGGGATAGGGAAACCGACCCCATGACGTCACAGCAAACTCTGACCGCAGCGGAGAAGCGCGCACCCATGTTCACTTTACCCACTCTTTTACGCGTTTCTGATAAAGTTTTCGGCGTGCACCTCTCTGTATGTTAGCCTATTGTATTTTACGCCTTAATGAAAAGAAGCGGTGCTACAGGAAACTACGGGAGCAGGTGAGGATGTTTACTTGATGTAGCCTAGTTGGTTGTTTTGTGAAGGTCTTGCACTTGTGAATGTCGTGTATTTGTTTCCAAATACTGGAGACTGGTTTTGTTTAATGCGAGTCTTTAGAAAAGGAGACCAATAGCTTATTGTCAATAGCTTATGGTCAAATCAAATGTAATGCAATGAATTTTAGCAATTAGAAATGAATAATGGGTTCAAATCACTGTAGTCTACATGACCACCACCTTCCTGAGGTGACAGAAGTACGTCTCTGGGTGAAAAGATTGTGTTGGAATTACTGGGCAACACAGTTTTAAAGTAATAAAGCATCACATGATGCCTGCTTTTATTTGATTTGTGATGTTAATGAATGTTAAATGGCAGAACTGATCAGCAGATTATGTTTTATTTGATGATATACCTCCACACAAGTTTGTCATCTCCATAAAAAAAAACATTGGCTGTGCAGATGGGGAAGGTTGTAACACTCCTCTTCAATGTAGGCTACTACTGGTCCCACAAAGATTGTACAAAATGGGTCATTGTGCATAGGCCATATTTGCTACAATTGTGACAAACCTCGTTTTAGCCTTTTTTATGAACTATATTTGATTCCTAGTTTATTTCCTATAATGCCTTAAGTTCCATTTCCTATATGTTAGAGTTTTGAATTGAAATGTTTAAAATGAAATGTGTGTCTGAGTGACCTTGAATGGCATAATAATTATTACGAACAAGTAAATTTAAGGACCACAGTAAATCTAGACACAAAATGTAAAATATTCCACAACCCATCGGTATGATTCAATAGGTAGTACTAGTGAGGTAGGTTATTAGTAACAGAAGCGCTCTTTATACTTGACATTGACTTGGACAATTTTGTGACCAACTGCAGTTTTCAAAATGATTTAAATTAGTAGCCAACAAAAATGAAAATATTATGTCGGCCATTACAATTACTGTTTGTTAGCAATACTAACATTTATTATCAAATCAGGTCAGAAAGTGGTATGAGAAATGTTATGGCTTGGACATTAAACTAATGTCTGGTAAACTCAGCCATGATGGTTAAAGCCCTCATAATTATGACGTTAATGTCATAGAATGGCATGGATATGCATCTGTCTGCAATGGTGTGTAGTTTGATGTGGCCATTGTCAGTGTCAGTGAGTTGGCTTTACAATCTTTGCCAGTCTTGACTTGTGTGTCATGGAAAAGAAGCCATCCGGAAAGATCAACTTTGTCCAAGTTCCATCTATTGTATTGATTCAGCCTGTCTCTTTCTTTCTCACCCCCACCTCTCACATCACCTCTGCCATATTGTCAGCCATTGGGAATGTCATTGAAGGAGAGAGAATCTGCCTTTACCCAACTGTCAATTCCATGCATTATTTATTGTTTATCCGTATATTCCTACAGTGATTTACCCATTCATCCATCTCTTAATTTTTCCTTCAGGTGGGTGAGTTGTCCGACGGGACGTCAGGAGTCATAGCTACATCACTGACCACATCATTCTGAGGCAGTGGAGAAAGGTCAACAGGTACATGCCCTGAGTGGCGGCTGAGATGACACACCCCCGCCGGATCGCCTCGACCAGCCTCCTTTTCTGGTTAGAGTCCCCATTGTCCTATTCCCATCATCATTGTTTGCATGTCTTATGACATTTATTATGATTCATTCTAGATCAAACAGATCCTAATTAGACGATTAGATCCCTACCTTTATTGATAATAATAAGAAATGTTTCTTGAGCAGCAAACTTTATTCTGGTTTTAGAATATTTCTAGATTATTTCTGATTTGATTTCTGAAAGATCATGTGACACTGGAGTAATGATGCTGAAATTAAGCTTTCACATCACAGGAATACATTACATAAAAAAAAAAACATTAACATATGCAGGCTTGATGAGCATAAGAGACTTCTTAAACACACACACACACACACACACACACACACACACACACACACACACACACACACGAATCTTACTGACCCCAAACTGTTGAATGGTAGTTTATGTGCCTTAAAGAGGCATCTAACTTCTTTACGTATGTCTTATTCATAATTGTCTTATTTGTTTGTTTGTTTTTCCAGCACAAGGCTTTTATTTGCACTTATGACTATACACACAGCTTTGGGGGTGAGTTGTTTTTGTATTATCTTCATGAAGTTGCTTTAATGGTTTCACAATGGCCAGATGATGCTGGCTGAGTCAAATGGCAATAAATGTCTTTTGCCTGTGAAATTCCTGTGCTGTTTGTATGTGCAGCTTATTTTATGCATATTAGAGTATTGCACCATTAGCTTAGCAATATGTTTAAGGGGTAGTTCATACAAAAATTAATTATGTTGTCATTACAGTTTTTTTCAATTGTTTACATGCAATTTTGAAAACCGGGTTCTTTTTTTCAAAATATAATCACAATTATCCAAACACCACACTCAATTTGCATAATTCCTAGATTGTTTGCAAATTGACACACTTCTGTCAAAACATACACACTTCAGTCAAAAGATATACACATATTTGTGAAAATGCTATTAGTTTTCATTTAACCAACACAGTCCTCAATGACCAGACACTATTGCAGCCAGTTTCACACGGCTGTGATAAATAAAAAACACATTTGTAAAAAAAACAATTTTTAGGAAATAGCATGTGCTAGATTTTTGGCCAGACATTGTTATGTAAGGGATAATTTAGATGAAAAAAAAAAATAGTGACAAACCCACAACATTCTTCATGATTAGTTTGAGATATAGGGAGAATGTACACAAATAGGCCTACTATAAACTTGCCAAGCACTGCACAACACTGATTTCTACAGACTCATATTTCAAGTATTTATTTACAGTATTTCTTACCATAATCAGTTACAGTAATCAACCAACAAAGAAATCAATGAAAAAAATAAAATCTGTAGACAAATAAAAATTACTGCATGAAGTACATACAGTTTGACTCTGAAGAAAAACTACTGTAAAAGCAACAAGAATACTGTAACTATTCAGTTACAGTATCAACCAGAGATTTGGTTGATCTCTTTGTCCAGCTTCCATCAGTGTCAGTCCATGGTTGATAACATGGTCAATAAGTGTTGCACGGATTTCTTGAGTCAAATTTGGTCCTCGTCTTCTTTGTTCAGGTTCTATCAACTCTTCAAGTCCTTCTCTACCTCTTCTCCTCTACCTAGGCCTCTTCCTCTATCTCCTTCTTCTCCTCTTCCTCTACCTGGGCCTCCTCCTCTACCTCCTTCTCCTCCTCCTCTACCTCCTTCACCTCTTCCTCTACCTCCTTCTCCTCTTCCTCTACCTCCTTCTCCTCTTCCTCTACCTTCTTCTCCTCTTCCTCTACCTCCTTCATCTCCTCTTTGAGCTCCCCCTCTTATTCTCACTCTTTTTCTTCTTCTTCTTCTAGCTCCTTCCATTTTTGTTGAAGACATGTGAACTGAAACCTGCTGCCTTTTATAGCACACCTGAGTGCTGCGTTTTCAAATTAGCACATGTGTGCTTCCACACCTGGTGGATGTGCATATCCAATTCATTCATTAGTGTGGTCAATGGCAAACCGGGGCTTTGTAATGACAAGGAAGTAACCTCACAATCCTTATCTGTGTCTAAGGTGTGAAAATGTGTGTAGAGTTTTACAAATTACTGTGTGTAATGTTTTGCAAAAAGGGTGAAGCTGACAACGTGCTTACAATTGTGCAAATCTAGGCTGGTGTTTTGCTCCTTGAGTGTAAGGTTTTGCTAATAGTGGGAAAGTTTTAATTTTAGTGTGTAAGCAATTGAAAAAAACTGTAACACCCTCATGTTGTTACAAACCAGTATAACTTTCTTCTGCAGAAAAAAAAACAAGGTGTTTTTTTTAAATGATCAGTAGTTTTTTCAAGTTTTTCTAAACCTGTATGAATTTCCTTCTCCTGCTGAACACAACATTTTTTTTTTGAAGAAGAAGAATGTCAGTTACGAAACAGTTGATGAACCCCATTGACTTCCATAGTATTTTTTTTTCTCCATAAATCAACAACATGAGGATCAGTAATGATGATGAAATTCCTTTTTGGGATAACTATCCCTTTAATGTTAATCTCTATTGAATTCAAAAGGGCTTTTGAGTTGCTGATGTATGTAGAGCATATTATGTTCTTTGATGGGTAGGATGCTGTCTTAAGGGTACCTCACATTAGCGATATTTCAACTAAATTTCTAAGAAAAAAAAGGTCCATTGTCAACAGTGTAGCACAGTCACGTGGTTCCCTAACTTTTTCTGCCGGGCCCCCCTTTTTTTGAGAAAAACATTTTCAAGTCCCTTTTGCTTACAAAATCCTTGCAAGTAGCCGAGTAATAAGCGGGACAATTTTGCAGTGGGGACTTGTATCACCCTGAAGAAGTTTATTTAGCTTACTGCATCTGCTGACTGTACCCTTTCTCTTAGCCATGCTGCAACCCCCTTTTTATAACTCCAGGCCCCCCAGTTTTGGAACCACTGGTGTAGCGACGAATGAAGAACAGAAGTCAATTTTAAACCAAGCAGATTTCTGTTGGTCAATGCGACAAATTTGCTTAACCAACTAGAACATGATTTGAAATGAGGAACAACTCCCAAACATGTGGATTCCCATTGAAATGCGGAGCCCCTATGGGGATGTGGACGTGGTGATGTAAAAATTATATTTCAATATAATCCCTGCCCTCACACGAGAAACTTTGTGTTTAACATTTGCGATCCACTATGAAACTTTGTCCTCTATAGGCCCTTAGAATTAAAATGACTAGATTTCTCCTGCAAAAGTTCACCATGGTAAATGTGACCACACCTGCCTGTGTAGAGGCGGTGAAGCAGTTCACTAGGTTTGGTCTAACGTCTGGTGTGACCACCTCTTTAGCTTGATGGTAAGATTGATGTATTGGTCCTGTATGGGTGTTTCATTGAGCTATGTTGAAAGAGATCTTAACTAGAGAACCAATATTTTGTTTTACATGCACTCATCTTTTGATTTCAATGGCATGAAGCAGCCTTTGAAGTAAAGAGTCACATGATCCAAAGGAGCTATGATGGCATAAGGGATCCAGAAATGTCTTTCATCACCAACCGCCCATGAGAAAAAGAGTTGTTGTGGGTGAAAAGTGTTTTAGAAAGATATATTGTCAGAAGAAACAAAGGATCCAAGTGCAAAGGCAAGTTCTTGCAATAGTCTTTAATGAAGAACATAGGCAGTCTGTTGTGCAACGACAAAGAACTGGAATAAACTTAAAGTCAGTGTACTCTACAGTATGTCAGCAGAAACAGAAGACTCCTGTCTTGGTGACAGTTTGCAGAGCTGGCAATTCACGTTGGCCAGTAACACAGTCCTTGTAAGAGGCCACAAAGCCGCAGAGAGTAGACTGGTAGAAGGTCACAAGCAGCAGGGTGACAGGGCAAAGAAAGCACACAAGACGAACACAACTCATCTAGACTAGACAAGATAAGATAAGATAAGACAACACAAGGTAGAAAACATATAGCACAGGCATGACTCACGTACACACGTAATAATCCGACAAAGAACAAGGGGAACAAACGCTAGAAGTAGAGAGAAAGTAATGAGACTAGAGTGAGAACAGGTATTACAGAGAAGCAGCGCAAACGCTAATTGCAAGGATGTACAGGTGGAAAAATAGTCAGGCAGAGAGAGAGAGAGAGAGAGAGAGAGAGAGAGAGAGAGAGAGAGAGAGAGAGAGAGAGAGAGAGCCTGCATAAACAGATGTCTGTCTCTGATAACGACAGAGGATTAACACACTTTTATTTTAACAACAATTATAAACAAACATATTTGTTCTCCACAATATGATGATGATGATGATGATAACAATCATTCATCATCACAAAAAATAAATAAATAAACTAACACTAAAATTTCAGCACCAATTCATCTTCATAAACTGTACATAAGACATGGTTTATCCCCAAAATTTCCATAAAAAGTTGTAAACGCCCAACCAATTTGTAATACGTGTATTCCACTCTGAGACGAGAACCCACTAGGCCCAAACACACATAAATTGGATACTGCACCTTGTCCTGATATCTTATTTTTCCTAGTTTTCCAGATGGCTAATTTTCCATTACCAAATAAGAAATTAAGTAAAACCAAGACATTCTTTTGCTCAACGGTGTACTTTGGACCAAAGATAAACAACTGAAAAGAAAAAGTTTCAAGGGAAAACAAATCCATCAACTTTGTACATTGCATAAACAAATGAAAGACAGATTCAATCTCTGCATAAAAAGGACTAACTAACACCAGGATCAAGATGCACCACATGTCTGTTTGTAGCTATAGATCCGTGTACAATCCTCCACTGGAGGTCACCAGTCCGCTGGTCGATCGGACGTTTGTACAGGATACGCCAACTATCTTTAGTGGATGAGTCGGTACCAAAAACGTCTGTCCATTTCATTGAAAGAACCCCAGTCAAAGAATGTAAATTAGACACCTTCACACAGGTGACATAAAGGGCTTTCTTTCCCTCTGACTCAAATCCATCCATTTGTGGAGCTCTGAATGGCAGTAGACCTTTCCTCTCTTCCTGCCAGTCCCCCACAGCAGCTTTTACAGTCAGAGAGGGAAAACAATACTCACATCCACTTCTCCATTCATCTATTAAAGCTGGATTGTCCAAGAAAGATAGTTAAAATCCAGTTCTCTAATCACCTCTGCGGTGAGCTTTTGTAATATTCGTATTGACTTAACTCCAGCTTTCTTGCCCAAGGATTCCAAACTGGTGTGTAGTAAATGACCCAGCTCTGTGCACCCAGCAGACAGTAAACGTGAACGCAGAAAGGCTGAGGATAAAAGTCTCGAAGGCAGGAAAGAGTTAAGACACAAGGGTTCCTCCAACAGCCTCATCCCGGCAGGTACTTCAGGTGATCTTGAAAATGCAAAAACTTTCCAGGCTTCCAGAACAGATTTGATGAAAGGTGTAAGATCTTTAAGCTCAGTCTCTTCTAGCTTCATAATAATACTCTATGAGCAGCTTGTAAACGAAATGTCATTAGCCTGGATCTGATATCCACCAAACTGTGGCCTCCTTCTTGTATCGGAAGAAACAGTACAGAGGAACGCACCCAATGTTGTCCGGACCAGAAAAAGGACA